CCTGTCACCCCTTGGCCCCCTAGCCCGGTGGGCAGTGGCTGGGGAGAGCAGCATTCCCAGACCTGTATCCTTGAGGGCCTCTAGCCTTCCCTGGCAGCTGCCATGCAGAGCAGGCAGCGCTTGAACTCTGCCAGCCTGGTGCCACAGCTCAGTGCACCCTGCTCTGCCGGAGGCCGCCAGCCCCATGCTCCCCTTGCTCTGTTCCAGCATCTCCAGAGCCCCCGGCACAGGCGCTTCGCCCAGGACGCCTCTCAGTATGCAGCTGTGGATCACGTCATCTCCCAGCTCCGCCACGACTTCGCAGAGCTCCCAGGCTGTGCCCTGCCCCCCAGGTAACACCCAGGGGCCCTGCTGCCCGGGGGGCGGCTGCTTACAACCCACAGCTGGAGCTGCTCCCTGCCCCGTGCAGGGGGCCACGCTTCCTGGCAGAGCAGGATGGGGACACGTTCGCTTCTGTGTCCTGGGCTCCTTCCCCTGCTGCAGCCTTGGCCCCAGAGCCATGCTGGGCTCCTCTTGCCCTCCCTGCCCACAATGCACTTCTGCTCCTCTGTCCCCCTCTTTCTGCCAGGGCTGCTGGGCCAGCATGTGACCCTGGTGACTTCCCTCCTGTGCTGGGGCCGTGCACAGCTGCACTTCCAGCTAGGCCCTGCCCCTGCGCAGCCCTGGCTTCCGCCCCACACGTGGGCTCCCACATTAAGTGAGTCTTTCCTCTCTCCCAGGGCACCCTGCTCACCCACAGCTGGCGCTCGAGCACAGGCCCTGCCCCCCAGGGGCGCGCCAGCCCCAGAGCTGGGCCCGAGGCACCGAGCAGCCAGGGAGGCCGAAGCGGAGCAGCAGTGCAGTGCAGCGGCCAGGCTGGGCGGGGAGTGCTCCGTGCCCCGGGAGAAGGCCGGCCAGCTCCCTGTGGCTGAAGAATTGCTCGCGGGGCGCCCCCTGCTGGGGCTGTGGGCTGAGCAGACGCTGCGACCCAGGCTGGCTGAGAGGGTCCCGGCTTGGGCTGCTGTTAACAGTACAGTGGGGGCTGCTGCCCCTGATCCCAGCCCGTGGACCTGTGCCAGCAGGAGCCTGAGTGGAGAGGCAACTACTTGCTCCCCTGAACCTGCCCCCTGGGATGCGCTGGAGCCCCCAGGAGCATCACCCTGCCCCAGGAAACGCAAGCGCTCTGCCAGCCTCCACCCGCAGCTGGCAAACAGGCCGAGGTTGCGGCAGCGCCGCGACCCCCTG